CTAGGGTGCCATGGCATCACAGCTCACAGCAACCTCAAACTCTTGGGCTTAAGCCATTCTCTTGCCTCAGCCTCCCAAGTAGCTGGGACGACAGGAGCCAGTCACAGCACCTGGCTATTTTTAGAGATGAGGTTTGGGTCTGGTTCAGGCTGGTCTCAAAACTGTGACCTTATTCATCCAATACCTATGACTAGAATGTAATTGGGCAATAGGGTCTCTTTAGATGTAGTGAGGGATCTCTAAGTGAGACCATCCTGGATCAGGGAGGGCCCTAAACCCAGTGACAGGTGTCCTCCTGAGAGAGACAGCAAAGGGGACACAGACACAGAGGATAAGCCATGTGGAGACGGAGGCAGAGACTGGAGTGAGGTGGCCACAAGCCCAGGGACGCCTGGAGCCCCAGGAGCTGGGAGAGGCAGGAAGGAGCCTCCCCTGGGGCCTGTGGAGGGAGTGGCCCTGAGATACCTGCACTCAGACTCCTGGGCTCCAGGGCTGGGAGGGTGAATCTCTGGTGTTCTAAGTGACTGGCATAGGAAAGTAAGACACCAGGTGACGCTGCGCTCATAGAGTCCTCACTGTTGTGAAACAGCGAGTCCAGGTCGGTGGAAATAGCAGCTAATGCCACCCACGCGTCTCCGCGTCCCCACCTTACCCCCAGCGTCCAGCACAGCACCCAGAATGCGGCCGGCGGTGAAACCCACTCATGGACAGACGGCCCACCGGTTGTCACCACCACATGCGTTCTCGCCCCTCAGGGAAGTGGCATCTGGGTCTCAACTGCGAATCCTCCCGCGATCACTGCCACCACCCGCTCCACCACGGGTTCGCACACTTCCACGGGATGCCTTTCTCCATGATGGGCGACTGTGTGCTCTGGGAGCTCTCAGAGAAGCGCCGAGGCCTGGAGCGCAAACTGAATCTCTGCACGCAAATCACCATCCTGGCTGCGCTCACGCTCACGGTGGCCAAGCTCGCATGCCTGGTGCCCCTGCCCTGGACGCCGGCCATCTGGTCAGCCGTGGCGGCCGCCCTGCTGTCCACCACTCCGTATTTCCTGGGGACGCTGATAGTGCACGCAGACTGCTTTCTAATGAAGGACCACGCCGTCACCGAGCAGCCCATGAGATTTAAAAACACCACTCCCCTTCTCCTGGAGGACGCCGAGTCCTTTCTTAGAAGGTGAGCTCAGGCTGGGCCGCCTGGCCCTGGCACTCGGCTTAGGGATTCAAAAGTATCACGGGTATTTTCAAATCTGATGCACATTTGAAAACAGAAATGGCCGTGACCCAGAAAACACTTTTTTTGCTTTCACTTTTAGTAGCATGGGGCATCAGTGATGGTCAGTTAAGACCCATGACTGTGTCCACTAAAACATGGTTACATGGTGTGGGGCTGTGGCTCACACCTGTAATGCCAGCACCCTGGGAGGCCGAGGTGGGAGGATCCCTTGAGCTCAGGATTTGAGGTCAGCCTGAGCAAGAGTGAGACTGTCTCTACTAAAAGTAGAAAAATTAGCCAGGTGTGGTAACAGATGCCTGTAGTCCCAGCTCCTTGGGAGGCTGAGGCAGGAGGATCATTTGAGGCTAAGAGATTGAGATTGCTGTGAGCGATGATGTCAAAGCACTCTACACAGTGAGACTCTGTCTCAAAAAAAAAATGCAAAAATAAATAAATAAATGCGTGCTTAAGTAAATACATACAAATGAAACCTTGTGACAGGCTCAGTGCTCGTAGCTCAGTGAGTATGGCACCAGCCACATACACAGAAGCTGGCGGGTTCCAGCCCGATCTGGGTCTGTTCAACAACAATGACAACTGCAACCAAAAAATAGCTGGGCGTTGTGGTGGGCGCCTGTAGTCCCAGCTGCTTGGGAGGCTGAGGCAAGAGAATCTCTTAAGCCCAAGAGTTTGAGGTTGCTGTGAGCTGTGATGGCACAGCACTCTACTGAGGGTGGCATACTGAGACTCTTGTCTCAAAAATAAAATAAGTGAATAAACCTTGTTACAGGTCATTTGGAATTTGCCACTTCAGGCCAACCCTTCTCCATCAACAGCCTCTGATAGCCAAGGGTCACGGTTGATTAACATAACAAACTAAATCATTTTAAGAGGGCTTGACCCATGAATTATGTTTTAAAGCTCTGTCACCCAGGCTAAGATATCCTGGTACTGACTTCAACCTACTGGTGCATTTTAGTGGGGAGGAAGGTTCCTCTGTCAGCCCAGGAAGTACATGACAAAAAGCTTCACTAAGTAGTGTGTGTTCCCTGCTGCCCAATGGTGTCACAGTTAAGAGGGTGACAGCATCAAACTCCAGCCTGCCTGGTGGAGGTGAGGTTGAAATTATGTTCCATGGTGTTCTTGGAGAATTCTTGATGGGACTGCCTGGTGCGGATAAGGGACAACATTCACAACTAGCCCCAAAATTGAAACTGGTAAGTCCCACGTGTTCTAATGCAGGCTAAGATATTCACCTTTATTTTTTATTTATTTATATTTTTTTTGTAGAGACAGAGTCTCACTTTATTGCTCTCGGTACAGTGCTGTGGCATCACACAGCTCACAGCAACCTCCAACTCCTGAGCTTAGATGATTCTCTTGCCTCAGCCTCCCAAGTAGCTG